TGTGGGGATGGGAGGCCAATGGTCAAAGGAATACGCCAGCCAGGAATAGGAGTCCCCCCCCCCCCCCCTCGGCCAATGCAGACAAATAAGACCGGCTCTCCAATAGCGTAAAGCTGCCCCCGTCGCGCCTACACGAGTCGTTCTCTTCAAGACAGAATCACTCATACGGACACCTGTCCCAACCCAACTGCAGGAAGCTTAAGAAGCACGTCTAGGCCGAACCCCAACACGTCGAACTCCCGTCGTTGACGGCAAAAAACAAACAAACGTCTGAACAAAAGTCAAAACCAAGTACGCCACCGCATCAATGCACGAGAGACACCCTCTCGAAACAACAGAAAAGGTTGGGCGTGTGTGCCCTCCCCCCCCCCACCCCCGCAACAGTCACAGGGAGGGGGGAGGGTTGCAAATCGTTACCTTCCCCATCCCGGTTTCAAAACAACGCAAACATATATCCCCCGCCTTACAACAGGGGAGGAAAAAAAAAAAAAAACTCCATCCTGCCAGAAAAAAAAAACATGCTCTTGAGCACGATCTCGGTCTTCTTCTCTCCACCCCGGAAAGGGTAAAAAAAAAAAAACTTCCCCGTCGACCAAGAGAGCACCACGCCACCGATTTCGGCCGTCTTCTTCCAGAGAATGGGTATTACAACCCGTCCCCGTTGAGAGGAGCGTCGTCGCCGCGGTTACCGTCCTGGCCGCCGCCGCCGCCTCCCCCCCCAACCATCCGCCTCACGGCGGACTGGGCCTGCAAGTCGTCCATCAACTCCGAGCCCGCGTCTCCCATCCCGGCGTTTTGGCAAGCCCTGAGGAGAAAAAGAACGAGCAAATCGTCCAACGAAGGAGGGCAGGCGTGCCGGGCAGGGCGCAAACCAACCAAATCGTTTATGTTGTTGTTGTTGTTGTTGTCGTCGTCACAAAAAAACGGTTCGGTCTCCCTCTGCGTACCTTCTAATTTTCGTACTGGTCCAACCAAAAGGGACGGACGCCTTCCGTGGTCACAAGCCAAATACCCAAAGAGGAGTAACTTCCATAAGGAAAAATGTTGAAGACGGAAAACAAAAAACAGCATGCTTTAATAACCCCGTAACGGCGTGCACATTTTTTTTCGCGTCCGGGCCGCCAGAAGTGACATGCTTTCCATGGACAGTGGGAGGGTCGATACGATACCAAACTTGAGGTACATAAACGCACAGCAACCACGGCACAAATGCTGTGAGCACTGATTTGTGATTGTGGAGACAACAAAAAAAACACGGACACACCAAAACGAGTATATGCGAGCCAAGAGACTAACGCTTCTTCGATGGTCAGCCCGTTGGAACGGTCTATGCTAATGGAAGAAACACACAGACACCGAAAACAGATGTATGTAGGCCTTTGGAGCGTTTTCCGTGCACAGCCGCGCTGAGACCGGCGTGTTCTCCAAGGATGCTATGCTTGATTACACACACACCCACAGACGAGCAAACCTCATCGCGGAGGCATCCCCATAGAGGAAACACAGAAGACACACACCATGCGCACCTCATGCGTCCTGACTAAAGAAACACACAGCACACACAAGAACCTAAGCACACCACTTCTACCCCATGCACCCTAACTAAAGAAACACAGAAAGCACACACACACCTCGGCGGAAGCACCCTAACAAGAAACACAAGAGAAAACACATACAAAACGCCAGCACGCACCTCATGCATCCCAACAAAAAGGGACACGCAGAACACACGAAAAACATCGGTACATACATGTGCCTCTTTTGTGCCCCATGCACCCTCCCTAACCAAAGAAACACACAAAACGCACAAAAGCACGCCACCTCATACCTCATGCATCAAAACGAAAGAAACAAACAAACACACGAAACTAAACACACTACACATTAAACACACACACACACACACACACACACCTCATGGCGGAGGAGTAGCAATCGTCGTCCGGGCTCAAGCCCGTCATCTCCCTGACGAGCTCCAAGATCACGGGCACCGCGGCAACCGCAGCGGCCACGCCCGACTCCCACCCGTGCCTGCCGCCGCCTTCCCCCGACAATGACGACGACGATGCAGCACTGCCGCTGCTCCTGCTGCTAGCGCTGGTGCTACGGTCGCCCCTGCCGCCGGTGAGACCTCTGCTCGTCGCCCTCTCGCAAGCCTTCAAGGCCTGCTTGAAGTGCGAGAGGGTCGGCGGGACGCCCGCGGCGGGCATCTCCTTGAGGTACTCCACGGCCTGGGTGTGGTCGGTTGCGAGCAACGGACAGTGGAGGCCGGGGAATGGAAGGGGGGCGTACTCATCATGTTTTGTCACGCCTTAGCTGTCAGGCCATTGACCACCCGTCCTCGAGAGTACGGAGCATTAGGGGGGGGGGGTTGGTGAGCTCACCCACACGTACTCGAAAACCTGTCTGAAGCCTGACCTACGACGCCATTGTGTGCAGACGTAGAGCATGGCGCCTTGCAGCACGACAATCAATTCTCTTGGGAGTGGGCGGGGATGGGGAGAGAGATGTGCGAAAAAAAAACTAAGCGCCCGCGACAAGCTACACATTCACCCACCACCCGACAACGTCGAATCCACTGTGGGGGAGTGCATACCCCCACGAATCATCACGAGCCTAGAAAAATACACGCTGCGCCAAAAAAAAAGCTGTTCACAACATACCACAAAACAAACCACAAACAAACAAACAAACAAACAAACAAACAAAAAACAGGCAGGCAAGACACAAGGCACAACACATACACGCCTGACCGCCGAATCGCGGCCAAAAAAAAAAAGGTCGGGCGAAACAGACCGGAAAGACAGACACACACACAACTGCGTTGAGACTGACGTCTTTTCATTGGCCAGCCGGTTACCGCGGTCGATGCTAATAATAACAACACACACACATGCATTTCCTGTTTTCAGCCGCGCTAAGACTGACGCCTTTTCATTGGTCAGCCGATTAGCGCCGATCGATGCTAATTTACCAATAAAAAAACTCATACGCATTTCTTGTTCTCAGCCGCACCGAGACTGATGCCTTGCCATCGGCCAGCCGATTAGCGCCGATCGGTGCCACCAACAAAGACGCGCACGCGCGCGCTAGCGTAGTACCTGACAGGCGAAGCCCGCCCTCTCGCACACCCGGAGCATTGTCTTGTAGCAAGTCTGCTCCGGGGGGCGGTCGGCCTGCCTCTTCTTGTCCTCGAACGTCTTCACGGCCTCCTCCCACCTCCCCCCCCGGCCGAGCGCCTCAAGCAGGGCGTGGTTGCTGTACCAGTCTCCGGGGATGCCCGCCTGCCCAAAGACCAACCAGATCAGGCGGGGGGGGGGGGGGGGGGGGCCACCCCTGGAAAACCCTGGCGGCCAAGCGTTTAAACCACCGGCCCCCCACACTTTGAAAAGCCGGGGCGGGGAGGAAAAAAATTGTGTAAAACCCTGGGGGAATTTTTAAAACATTGATTTTCCCTCCCCCCCAAAAGAAAAAAGAAAATCCCAATTTTTTGCGGCCCCCGGTAACCCTTTTTTACAAAGAAAAAACCAAAAACTGGGCCCTCCCCTCCCTTGGTTTTTTGGGCCCAACCAAAGGGTAAACCCAAAAGGGGGGGCTTTTTTTTTTTTTTCCCTTCCCCGAGGGGGGGGGGGAAAAGGTTTTAGACCCGGGT